CCTAGAATTCGGTGCTAAATATTGCCGTGCGCTGTCGGTTCATTGCAGCACGACGGGTTTAGGCCCATGGCAAACTAGGAGGTCTTTGTCCGTTCCTGCACGGATAGGACCAACCCGGTCCTGCAATATGTTGTCCATTCTTACCACATATTGTTCGTCAAGTTTCTTGCCAAATACTATCCGTTATGTACAATATAGTGTCAAGATGTAAAAGAATCCGTTTTAGTAAAGAAGAATAATCCGTAAATTGACTACTAAATCACGCTACCTTCACACGCATGCCGGTGTTTCGAAAAAGGTTGACCTGACACGAAAACACAAATGCAAGTGTCACATGTCAGAAATATCTAGTCAAACAGACACTACAAGTTAGTAGAAAAGTCACCGTTTATAAATCAAAATTAGATGAAAAAGGATTTCAATCACGACGTCTTGAAAGCTGACCGCAAGGACACCATCGGATTCACGCTATAAGTGCGAACACTATTTAGCAAGCTTCCTTCAAAAATGTGACGTCATTGACGCATGGCGATTCAGATTGCAGTATGCTAATGAGCGGACACTTTTTCGCACCGGACAATTTTTTGGCATGACACCATGGGGTTCTGGTTCACTTAATCGAACAGCAACAAATTTTGTTTTATCTTAACGAGCCAGGATGCAGGGCAGAATAAACTGCATGGAATGTTCTGTGCATGGATATAGAAATTATTTTGACTGGAGGAAAGAGGGACTTGTTTTATATATACTTAAAAAAGCCCTTCTTTCTCCTTCTCCATCAAACAAACTTTGATATCCAATCATTGCACTCCTCTCTTTCAAGAAAACTTGTATGGTAATTTACAGTCAGATCATTCTATTAGTATACATAAATGGGTGCTCAACTTCAAGTGCTATAATTTATTGCCGTTGATCGTAGAAGTGGAATATTAAGGTAGATTTCGTACGTCTCAGGCCAGTGAATTGTAATGGAAAAGTAAGTTAGTCAGTCAAAAGACATTCGTAAAATCACACATTTGTAGCATAAACACGTGGACTGTTTGCACCCGTTTTGTTACAATATCCCTCTGAAGTAAATGGACTCAGCCATTGACCTGTTATGTCCATACTCGTCGGCTGTGTGTACCCACTTTATGCTGTGTACATTTACCTCCATCTTCAGTGATAATATGAGTTTCGCAATATCACCCTTTTTACACAGCTGATATTATCCTTGATACGGGTTATTTACTGACCCATATTATACAAATAATGAAATGTTTGTGAGTGCATGGCAAGAATAATTTCATGAGGTGAACCGAATGAAATTATTCTTTCTTTGCTCGAGTATGAAACATTAATTATTTGTTTTCTACAACACCTCAATAAATCCACATAATCTGATTGGTCAGAGCTCCCAACAGTATGACCAGCAATGCCACTTCCATTTTAGTCCGGTCAATTTAGAACAAAACAGGGCCTGACCTAGAACAAAATGCAGTTGAATTTAGGAAATATCACTATTTAACATACTAAAAATCTAATTTCATCAAATGAGTGAAAAAGTGCTTTAATTCACTTTTTCGCTACTAATTTTTCATCCTACGTAAACGGTCGTATGAAGGGTGTCAAGTTTTCTTTCGCGTCCGTTACCCCTCAAAAAATCCGTTCACATCACAAATGAGACTTTGCGAGACACGACTGATAACAGCAGACGACTTTTCTAAGTCCACCAATTATTAAAATATGTGGTAATTGTACACTGTCGCCAAATATATACTAAAGGATATTTTCCTTAAAAAATCAAGAAATTTTAGATTTTGTTCTGCCCGATGTATTTATTGGTTAAAATATATTACTTTGTGCTCAATAAACCATTTGTTTCAGGAAAAATCTTTGCATTAACAGGCCTACTTGAAACAAGGCCAGGCGATGATATACACAAAGAGATCCATTTAAAGTTAAAATTTAAGTGTCTACGCCAATAGGCCGGAGTCCAATTTGCGATATTAGGGATAATATCGCAAATCCAAGATTGGTGTTCGTTTTGTGACGAATTTAGGTCATTGGCGTAATTTATGAATAACCTATAAATTGTCAAAAAAATTAATGTGTACTCATAAAAACGTTAATGAAGACAAATTAATTGGATTAAATCTTGCAGTGGGTTTTTAATAGAGAAAAGAAATTAGGCAGTGTGACAAGTGTTTTACCTCTACAAATAATACACGTGCCCCCACATCAAAGCCTTAGGCCGGGGTGATTTTTTTCCCCAAACGACATTCGCATAAGGTGTACGCTATGGCGTTTTGGACTTTACTTCTCTAAAGAGATGAGAAGAAAATATAAAATTATGAAAAAAAGGAATGAATTCGAACGTGAATTCCTTTATTTCCCTTTTTAAAATGACTTTATTTCCCTTTAAAAAAATCCTCCGAAGCCTCAGATTAGAAAAGAAAAAAAATAGGGTACAAAACGGTAACTCGAGCCCAGAACCACGCGGTGCAAAACCACGATCCTATCGACTGAGTTATTGCACTACTCAACAATACCTGGAAAAAAATAATATGTACCTGTGTACGTATCATAAAAGTATCGTAGAGGGCGCTGAACGACCATGTATGTGTATGTAGTTTGGGAAAGAAAATTTGCGGCCGGGGGGGGTGTGCCATTGAGATCATTTTTTTTTTTTAAAGTAATAGCAACTACTTTATGAACTGTGGTATATATTTACATTGGTGGTATGTGAGCCTTATAAGTTTGTCACAAGGTGAAAAAAGTATTGCGACATTGTAGCGTTACACATCTACACATACGTTGATACGGGAACTTTGCCAATGGCTTTCCCCATCAACGAAATATTAGTAGGGGACATTCACCGGCAGTCAGGCATTGCAATTTTAAACTGCCACAAAGCAAGAAACTACAGGGTTCTAAACATAGATGGGACATTTGTCATTTCCCCAGTGGTCTCCCACGAAGAGGTATAATAGGTCCTACCCGCCAGTTATCACTTTGAAAGCACTGCATTTCCACCTTACGCGTCTGTTGTGGATACGGTTGTAAAGGACTCGGGAAACATCGACCCCTTGCTGTTTCTTTGTGTTTTTGTCACAGCAACAACCGCAGCATGTACTTCCACTTTCCATCCTACTACCACGCTTATAGCCTACTTTATTTTCACATTTGTTTTTGTTTTGTTAAGTCAAACTTTAAATGCTTAAATCGGTAACTGTAAGTAATAGTCTAGCGGATGTGTGACAAAAATACTGATGAATTGTGCACGTTTTCATAAAAGCGTAACATTTTGCACAGACGTTTATATTCATGAAATAATTTGTTTTAGATGTCGAGCCATCACCGACTCATCCTTTTAGGCAGTCATTTTAAAAATAGGGACTCATATGCCCACTGTGAAAAAATGTTTTGCCTACCCTTCATAAAAGCACAAACTGCACACAAACATATTCATTCATCAGATATTTTTTTTCAAATGTGGAACAATCGCCAACTCACCAATTTAGAGACGTGGCAGCCATTTTGTTAAAATAGGGGGGGGGGGACTCATCATGTCCACCGCGAAAAATAAAATGTGCCTACCTTTCCTATACGAAATAAACTTGACACATGACAGACATTTATATTCATGAGACATTTATCACAACAAATATCAGATGTAAAACCATCACCAAGTCACCCTTTTAGAGGCGTGGCAGCCTTTTGAAAATAGGGAGGGGGTGGGGCACTCATTAGGCCACAGTGGGAAAATGGTGCCTACCTTTCATAAACACATAAACATTTACAAATACATTTATATTCATGAGAAAAAATCAGACGTGGATCCATCGGAAACTCACGCTTTTATATTTAGAGGCGTGGCATTAAATTGTAGCGTTCATATTCCCTGGCCTATTTTTTGCATGTTAGTTGGCTGGTACCCCGGTACCCTCATAATCAGTACAAGGGTACAGCAGACGTGGCAGCGTCAGACTGTATATAACAGGGGTGTGAAATCTCAGCTTTATGGCTGATTTCAGCTGTTTTTGTTTTGGATTTCAGCTTTTTTCCCCTTCACTTGCAGTGTGCAAAAGTATAGGAGATTTCCAAAGCTCAGCTTTTTTACACCTTTTTCAGCTGTTTTCAGCTATTTTTATCAGTGGTCACTCACACCCCTGATATAAAGTTGTTGTTGTTTCAGTGAATTGTTACTAATACAAACATAGCTGAACCTAATTGGCTTTCGTCCAAAAAGACAAATTTCAAAACCAAAAACTCCATACTTGTGGCGTTCTTTTAAGGGATCTCATCGGAAGAGATTACAAAGGCTGTTGGAATACATGCTTTCCACATCTTTCTACCCTACCGACGTGTTACTACAGAGGGTGTAATTACTAGTCGCACAACCTCAGTCGAGAGATATGAAAGGTCTTATTCAGTGCGTTCGATAATTACTTCCCCCGTGCTTACTCGTGCAAGCGCGACAGCGTTCGATTTACCTCTCACGTGACTTCATGCGTTTACTCGAGCCTGCAGGCCCAAGTAACCGACTCGCCAAGCCGGTTACTTGGGTATCCCATAAGGCCATGCAATAAACATGTCTGCCAACGTGACGTCTGGCGGGCACCTCAGGCTGTGTCCGAAACGGGCTTCCGGAGCTACGGCTATACGTCTATTGTCAGCGCGTCCCGCGTATTTTCAATGGGCGTGGACCTAGACCTAGCTTTAGACAGTTGATTCGGATGCAGCCTGTGTCATGTCAAAGTTCAATTTTCCAGCTCTTGCACGAAATTTTACCCGAAACCGTTTGTATATTTAGATCCACTGCGCATGTCTGTCATCACGCGAGGCGCGAGTAATAAGCTGGGGGAAGTAATCGAACGCACTCTAATAATAAGAAACTGTGACTCACTCGGCTCCTCCCTCCGACATAGACCACACAATTAAAACCATACGCGTGATACTTATGTCATACAATTATATTAATGGCCATTAAATTCATGATTTGTTTTTGCATTTTACAGTAACACAGGTATTCTACGAGCAAACCACCACTCCAGATCAGACATCTGATATACCATCGGAACATGCGATTGCGGGTAAGCTTCCTTTTTTTGCATTCATTGCAGGCATGTCTGTGTCTTATCAACTTCAACGATTTCAATGATGTATTAAGATTCATTAACGATCAAATTGCACTCGTCTCCGCTTTTGTATCACCTGAAAATTAACACAATTGCGGTAGTATTTGTTAGTTGAAAATTGGACTTCATTGTGCTCTTGTGCAAATACATGTAAAGACACCAATTCTTGTGCCATGACTGTGGGGACAACATACGTGTTGTCCCAAGGTATTTAAGGGACCAAAGACGCTATGGTGACAGCAGAAAGTCCCCATAACTCGTTTCTTATTTCGTTAACAATAAAACACTTCCCTATAACGTTGTGACCGCCCGCCACTCAAACATACCGGTGCAAACTCTATTGTCAAACAAGAACTGATTATTGAACAAATCCAACCAAGGATTTCATTTTCTAATTTTGATTGCTGAAGATTTTACTTCTTAGCAATGCGACGAGACAAGAATCGAGTTGCACTGCAATCAAATTCGCAAATTGTTTACAGATTAATTGACACACAAAGGCCACTGTTTTAATGGTAAAAAAATGCAGTGGGGATGGAGTCCAGTCGTTTTTGCCCATATACAACACGTATTCAACTGTACGTCACTTCAGATTATCGTTTAAATTCTTCTCATCTAAAACTAAGTATTTTTATGAAGCAATTACATATTGCTTACAGCCACAATAGTTTTAACATTTTGTCAATTGGAAGAAAGAAGTGAACAATTTCTTTTAGTTTTTTTAGAGGTTCATATCTTTTCTATCAACCTTCGGCTCGGTTAATTATCATCACCCAGGCTCCAAACGGTCTTAAACAGAGTGATTAAGAGTCATTTCGTATAAATACTTCATATAACTGTACACGTTCAACAGAAATCCTTATACTTTGTGGGATGAAAGAACTTAGGGAGCAAGTAACCAAAATAGACTTTTGAAACTTTTATTTTGCCCGATACCATGGTTACGTGCCATTACGTGTTTTGGCAATTTTTGGGCAATGTCAGTAATGTCACAAAAGTAACTATATCACAACAAGGTATCATCTTTACCCTTACAAGAAAAAAAGAAAAACTTCTGAAAAATCTCCTTTATAATATTTTTAGGCCCTACAATACAGCATGTTTTTACAACTAGCAAAATTGCATTTTTTACCCCATTTTCATCCCTCCAAAATGGCAATTGCCAGGGCTTTCAGAATAATTTCCCTTCGGTTATGGTTAGTTCAGACATTGGTCTTTTCATATCTGGTGATAAAATTTTGCGTTATTGTATAGCCTTTGTGCAGTAGCGCTCCACAAATGGTAAATTTCACAAAAACCTTAAAAAGTGTATTTTCAGTGTTTTCTTTTGTTTTGAGTAATAACTTGTATAATTGGTATTGTTCAAGAATCTAGCACATTTTCACAAACAGAATCAGTCTGTGTATTATATTTAGACCAGTGGATGAATAGTAGGTCGTGTACTCCCCCCTCCACACTTGGCTCGGCCCCGCCCACCCCCGTGTGCCACCGAATTTTGAACTTGTATGTTGTATAACGAAACAAATGTAAAAAATAATATGCAAGTGAACACTTTAGAAATAACATAGACTTCCTTTTCACAGCCTCCCCTTTCCCCACCCCGGGGGCATTGCTTGGGGTTAAGGGTGGGGTGTGACCACTCTGCAATAACTTGGCATTATCGGTACAATCATTGTCACATGGGCAAAACTCATGTGTTTGCAAGCCGCAATGAATAATAATGGCCATATCCATTGTCCTCTGATTGGAGTGCACATTATTCAAATGATATCCAGTCCTCCCCTCCCAGCTAAGCCCCGCCTCTTCCCTTGCCACCATATTCAGATTTTGATTTCTGCATGTATTTGCCTAAATTAATATTGAAAATACATATCAATTTGCAAGTGAAGCTTTCATAATCTACACCAACAGGCGTACCCATCTCACAGCCCACCCCCTGCCATTCCTCTTCCTATTTCAGAGCTCATTGTGAGCAACTACCCCTCCCCCTCCCAAAGAATTGCACAGAACATGAAATAAAAATAAAAATGATCTACCACCTATATTGTTAAGGTTACATATTGCCTTGCGGAGAGTCCACATATTTATATGCACTATAGTGCACTATGTAGGTTTGGCTATTTTTTGTCTACGTGGGAGTGGTTTGGAATATCGCGGGGGCGTATTATGGATACATGTATATGGTACATGTACATAATGCTGTAAAACAAAATTGCATTTATCTTATTATTTTCAATACAGAGAAGTGATATGGCGATTACGAGAGCAAATAACTCATATTTTTATATTAAAATAAATGTACTTTAAAACAACTATCACTCTAGTGAAAACTCAAAATGGCCTCTATTTTGATTGATTGAATTGTCTTGGCCCTACGTGTAATTATAGTCAGATCAAGCACATATAAAGCCGAATATAGTACCGTTGTGGGTGCTGCTATATGCCCTCCAAAATCGTAATTTCGTAATCAGCATGACATTTTGAGTCTCTTCCAAACTGTCGTCCGTAGTCAACATGGCCACACTTCTGTGGTGCATCCATTGTTGCATGGCAAGCAATTTAAATGTATTGGTGCTTATAAACTACAGGTTTTTTCATACAAGCAGGGAATGTTTTGTTAATGGGTTAATGTGTTAATTGTGTTAAAAAAATATCAACTTCCCCACCGAACCACAAGTGCTTACAGATTTTAACCCTTTCTGGCGGGTATTTGGTTTTTCTTTTCTGAAAGGGAGGGGTACAGCACACTGTGATCCCCATGTTGATTTGCATATACTTTGACCAATTTTCCTACAAAATATTGGTTGACCATTACTCTATATTATATGACACTCTTGGTTCTATTGCTGTTACCACTAGAGGTGTTTTTTATGTATTTTTCCAAACTCTTGTCTAGATAACATTTTGGGCATAATTTCTGTATTCCGGCAATTGTATTCATCCATTGTTACTGCCATAGGGACTATATACGTACCACTGCTTACTGATTTTTTTCCAAAAATGTGTGGGTTTTCAACCCACACATTTTTGGTGATGTTATTTAATGCTCCGCAAATGATTCATGTAATAACTATCAGAAACGTACGTCAAAACAAAGAAAATGGTACAGATTGAAAGGTGAAAATTACATGGGCTTCTCGCACCAATGGCGGCCACGTTACATACTGAGCATTTTCTTGTTAATTATATAGCCATTAATTTCAGTCTTCAGATAATACTTTCGTGATAGGTTTTGAAAATGGAAGTATTTTTGACTTAAGTTTATAAGCACCGATGTCTTTACAACGGTTGCCATGGTAATAATGAACACACGGTGACCACTGTCACAAAAATTTCTTGTTGATCAGGCAAATACAAATTTGGAGGACACTTCCACTTAAAAAAATACTTCAGACCCTAACTACATGTATATAGCCAAGTCAAGTCAGAGTGAAATTCATGCAATCAAATTGATGTTGTGTTCTCTCGGAGCTGCCACTGGAGTGATCGTTGTTTTAAAGTTCATGTATTTCAATATAAACAAATAAGAGTTATAGTTGCTCTCTAAATCGCCGGATCTTTTGTGGGTTTCTTTTTTAAATAAACGTCATTTTGTTCACCACACCTTTTACTGTAGTTCCAAAGGAACTTGCAATATAAACAAATGTGTACAGTGTCCAGATCACCCTTCCCACCCCCATCCACCCACGCGACATACACACCCCTTCTCCTCCTCGCTTTTCGAATATTCCAAGCTGCCCCGTGTAGTAAAAAAAAAACCACCTTACATAATTCAGACTTTCCCCAAGGCCATACGCATGTATGTAATCTCAACAAAATTGTACTTGTTGACTTGTTGGGGAGGGCGTGGTTCTCTTTGAGCATTGTGAGTGGGGGTGGCAGGGGAAGGGGCTGGCTGTGAGATGGCTGTTGGTGTGGATTGTAAAAGGTTCACTTGCAGATTGATATCTAGTATTTACAATTTAATTCAGGCAAATACATGCAGAAATCAAAATCTGAATTTGGTGGCAAGGGAAGGGGCGGGGCCTAGCTGGGAGGGGAGGGCTGGACATCATTTGAATAATGGTGCACTTCAATCAGAGGACAATGAATATGGCCATTATTGCGGCTTGCAAACACAGGAGTTTTTCCCATGTGACAATGATTGTACCGACAATGCCAAGTTATTGGTGGGTGGTCACACCCCACCCTCAACCCAAAGCAATGTTATTTCTAAAGTGATCGCTTGCATATTATTTATTTACATTTGTTTCGTTATGCAACATACAAGTTCACAATTTGGTGGCACGGGGGAGTGGGCGGGGCTTAGCCAGGTGTAGAGGGGGGAGTACACGACTTACTATGCATCCACTGGTTTAAAAATGATACACAGTCTGATTCTGTTTGTGAAAATGTGCTAGATTCATGAACAATACCAATTATACAAGTTATTACTCAAAACAAAGAAAACACTGAAAATACACTTTTTAAGGTTTTTGTGAAATTTACCGTTTTTGGAGCGGTTCTGCACAAAGGCTATACAATAAGCCAAAATGTTCTCACTAGATATGAAAAGACCAATGTCTGAACTAAAACATGGCATAGGGACATTATTCTGAGTGCCCTGGCAAGTGCCATTTTAGAGGGATAAAAATGGGGTAGAAATTGCAAATTTGGAATTACATTGAATTTGTTGTGAACAAAATAACGTTGATTTTATTATTTTCAAACCGGAAAAGATCAGGCGATTTAGCGAGCAAATATCTCTTATTTCTTTCTATTGAAATACGTGAACTTTAAAACAAGGATCACTCAAGTGAAAACAGCGTCAGTTTGATTGAATGAATTTCACTCTGACTTGACTTGGCCCTATACATGTAGTATGCTCTGGAGTACTGTTTGAATTGAAGTGTCCTGCAAATTTGTATTTGCCTGATCAACATGAAATTTTGCAGTGACTTTTCCAAACTATTAGCAGTGGTTATGCACCATGGCACCAAACGCACCTCTGTGGTGTGTTCATTATTACCACGGCAAGCGATGTAAAAAAATATCGGTGCTCATAAACGTAAGTTAAAAATACTTCCATTTTTAAATCCTATCAAGTATTATCTTTAGACTAAAATTCATGGCTACATAATTAACAACAATGCACGTTGTTGTTCTGATCTTGAGAATTAACTAATGCAACTAATAAGAAAACTATCATAAGAACACGTGTAGCGTACGCAGTTTTTTAAGTGTATTTAATAGTTGGCAGGCATGGACGACCCTTAAGCCACCAGGGTATAATATCGGTAAAAATATCACTCCAACGTTTCCCTCGCGTAATTGAAACTTTCCAGCGTATCATTTGTCAAGTAACATGCAAGGGCGTGCACTGGGGTTGCTCAGGATATCCACGAACAGAGGGAAGGAACACGATCCTTAAACCCGGAAACACATAGGATACTTTTGCAAAACTATATTTATCCACAAAAAAACACATAAGGCAGAGGAAAACTCATGAATTGAATTAAAAATCCATATAAAATCATGTACAAAGTCATTGGGATTTGGGGGGCAACAAGAAGGAGGAGAACAAAGAAAAAACTAGACTCAATGTTTATTTCAAACCATTTCTTCCATTCAACATGACTTTCCAACTAGCTCCTAACGTGCCGCCGCTATGTTGCCTTGCTCTTAGATCATGTCTGATTATAGGTTTTAACTGGATTTGCAACGACATACCAAGACAAGTTTGAAGATGAAGTGTCGCTGCTATTTTCCAACTCCATAAGTGTCATCTTTGCTTATTTAACATATATATTTCTGTATTTTAAATCACACTTTTAAATTCCAGACTCTACCACTGAACCACCCTACTCCGGCTGCAGTTCATATGAGTGGCAATGCTACTACAACGGTCAATGTATTCAAGACTACCAACGATGCAACGGTTACACTGACTGCTACTATGGCGAAGATGAATCCAACTGTTACGGTAAATATCTACAACAAAACAGTTCACTGAGTACGAAACATTCTCCAAGTTTTGTAAATAATTCATCTCGCTGTCTTTTCGCTTTCAGACTACACCACTGAGCCATCCAACTCCAGCTGCAGTTCATATGAGTGGGCATGCCACTACTACGGTCAATGTATTCAAGACTACCAAAGATGCAACGGATACTCGGACTGCTACCATGGCGAAGATGAATACTACTGTAACGGTAAATTTGTGCAACAAATCAGTCTCTTGGAAATTTCTTACTCAATTTGTATAGATACCTTTGTTTTATACTACACTTAAATCCCAGACTACACTACCGAACGCTCTCTTACGGCTGCATTTCATACGAGTGGCGATGCTACCACAATTGCCAATGTATGAAAGGCTCACAAAAATGCAACGGATACTCAGACTGCAACCATGGGGAAGATAAATTCAACGGTTGTGTTAACTACTCATATCTGCAGATATTTTATTGTAATACAAAAGAGACTTTCCTTAAACATTTACAACAACTAGACTCGTTGTGTATTTCAAACCATTTCTTCCATTCATCATGTTTTATAGGAAACACCGTTGCTCCCACTGTAGACGTCAATCCACCCTCCTTCGTGATACGATTAGTGAATGGCAGCACCATCTATGAAGGCAGAGTAGAGGTGTTTGTCAACGGTTCCTGGGGAACGGCTTGTAGCCATTCCTGGGACATGAACGAGGCCCAAGTCATCTGCAGACAGCTTGGATATGGACCAGCCATTAATGCCACGGGTTACGCTACCTATGGCCCGGGTGTTGGTCCTATTCACCTTGTACATGTCTACTGCAACGGTTCGGAAAGCTCAATTTTCGACTGCACATCCAATTACTCTGAACACTGCTCTCACAGTGAAGATGCTGGTGTTGAATGCTCAGGTAATTCAAACTTGTTCGTCAAATCACCGCCAAACCTTTACAAGAAAATTGGTATTTTGTTTTACATTTTCCATCTGAAAAAGGTGTATGCACGTCTTATTGTCAAGTTGCATTGAAATTGATGACGTTAATATTACCAGTCCAAATGATCTAATTGAAGATAAGTCATTTCTCAAACTGGCGATTTTATAGATGCACTGTCCGTTGCTCGTCAGCAAAATTAATTTAATTTTGTCCTGAAGCATTTTTTTTACTTGTTGTATTTTAACGAAAGCCTCTTTGGCTATTTTAGGTGTATGCAACCATCTGAAACAAAAAAGGCTTTTGTTGTTTTTTGGGTTTTTTGTGCGTGCTAAACAGGACAGCCATGCGAGTAGAGTGGTTCCTGGTCCGTATATTGTTGAAACTGATCGGAACGAGAGCCAGTCTACCCAACGAGAACTTGATCATTGTCGAGTTTGGACTTGCAATCATGCGTTGTTCATTCGTTTGACCCGTGTTTGAACCGACAATGTGACATCTCATAGACGCAGTAATGAAACTGATGAGCTTGTCTTACATACGCAGTGTGGACTTCCGAACAAAAGACGTCCACATAATGTAGGTAGCAGCGACGAAGTGTGGACTTGCCCACGTCCACACAGTGTTTCCCCATTTCTGGAAAACAGGTTTAGAGGCATTTTTGGGTTAGGTTTATCTGTAGCAGAATGAAGAGAAACACTAAAGGGAATCATTGAAAAAAAATTGGGTCGTAAGAGTTTTCACAGTTTGAGAAAAATGAGTTTTTCCACTGGTGTTCCTTAACTACACGAAAAGAAAGGAAAGTCCACACTAGGTATGTGAAACAAGTCTGGGTGTGTCTGTGTGTGTGTGTGTGTTTCAACTTGAAGTAACTTGAGGCACGTTACAGTAAGTTTATTTCAAAAGTCTTCTTACCTAACCCCCGAAACATTTCATGTTCTTTTACTTTAGCTCCGATTCGTCTAGTTAATGGAAGCTCTTCTAACGAGGGTCGAGTTGAGGTCCTCTACCAAGGCGAGTGGGGTACAGTTTGCGATGATTATTGGGGCATTCATAATGCTGGTGTTGTCTGTCGCATGCTTGGTTACCACTCTGCATCCAATGCTTGGAGCAACGCTCACTTCGGTCAAGGATCAGGTCCGATCATGCTAGACAATGTCAACTGCCAAGGATATGAATCTAGCATAGCTGAATGCAATCATGCTGGCTGGCTTAGCCATAACTGCCTGCATAATGAGGACGCCGGAGTTACTTGTAACAGTGGTAAGTTAATCCTCGGAACATATTAAATGAAGTTGAAAATTTGAAGAATCAGTTGCCCTTGACAGGGCGTCCTGTAACGGTGAGGCAGGAAAGTAAAATGACCAAGTAAAAATGAAGGTTTTTGACTTTTGAACTAGCTCCTCACAAGCCGCTATGTTACCTTTCTCTTAGATCATGTCTGATGATAGGTTTTAACTGGATTTGCAAAGACAAACTATGACAAGTTTGAAGATAATGTGTCGCTGCTATTTTCCAACTGCTTTTTTTGAACGAAAGTTTGAGAAGTTTGCTGCAAGATAAAGCTCAATCAGAACTTCACTTCCCCATTCATAACCACGCTCCAAAACCTCCCTACTACGGCTGCAGATGATGTACAAGGCGATACTACAGAATGTCTTACAGAGGTCAATGTGTTTTTGGACCTACTGAGATTTACTTTAGCGAAGATGAACACAACATATTAATTTCTAAATGAATATTCACAACAAATAGAGTTTGTTGAACATGGCATATGTCAAATCTTTGCTTATTAAACATATATCTTACTGTCTTTTAAACCACATTTTAAAATTATTCCAGACTCTACCACTCAACCACCGTACTCCAGCTGCAGTTCATATGAGTGGCTTTGCTACTACAACGGTCAATGTATTCAAGACTACCAAAGATGCAATGGTTACACTGACTGCTACTATGGCGAAGATGAATCCAACTGTTACGGTAAATGTCTACAACAAAACAGTTTCCTAAAGTTGAAACATTCTCCAAGTTTTTTAAATAATTCATCTCGCTGTCTTTTCGCTTTCAGACTATACCACTGAGCCATCCAACTCCGGCTGCAGTTCAAATGAGTGGGCATGCTACTACTACGGTCAATGTATTCAAGACTACCAAAGATGCAACGGATACTCGGACTGCTACTATGGCGAAGATGAATACAACTGCACCGGTAAATGTGTACAACAAATCAGTTTCTGTGAAATTTCTTACTCAATGTGTATAGATACCTTTGTTTTATACTACACTTTAATCCCAGACTACTCTACCGAACCGTTCTGCTACGGCTGCAGTTCATACAAGTGGCGATGCTACTACAACGGCCAAAGCATTCGAGGCTACCTAAGATGCAACGGATACTCAGACTGTTACCATGGGGAAGATGATTTCAACTGTTGTGTTAACTACTCATATCTGCAGATATTTTATTGTCATACAAAATAGACTTTACTTCAACAGTTACAATAACTAGACTGGATGTGTATTTCAAACCATTTCTTCCATTCATCATGTTTTATAGGAAACACCGTTGCTCCCACTGTAGACGTCAATCCACCCTCCTCCGTGATACGATTAGTGAATGGCAGCACCATCTATGAAGGCAGAGTAGAGGTGTTTGTCAACGGTTCCTGGGGAACGGCTTGCAGCCATTCCTGGGACATGAACGAGGCCCAAGTCATCTGCAGACAGCTTGGATATGGACCAGCCATTAATGCCCCGGGTTACGCTACCTATGGCCCGGGTGTTGGTCCTATTGACCTTGTGCATGTGCACTGCAACGGTTCGGAAAGCTCAATACTTGACTGCACATCTTTTTACTCTGAACACTGCTCTCACAGTGAAGATGCCGGTGTTGAATGCTCAGGTAATTCAAACTTGTTCGTCCAATCACCGCCAAACTTGTCATGAAAAATAGTATTTTTTTTCTTACATTTTCCATCCGAAAAGGTGTATCCACGTCTTATTGTCAAGTTGCATTGAAATTAATGACCTCAATATTACTGATCCACATGATTTAATTGGAGATAAGTCCTTTCTCAAACTGGCGATTTTATAGATGCACTGTCCGTTGCTCGTCAACAAAATCAAATTAGTTTTGTCATGCAAAGCTTTTTTTTGGCTTGTATTTTAATGAAAACCACTTTGGCTATTTGAAGTTTATGCAACCATCTGAAACAAGAAAGGCTTTTGTTTTGGTTTGGGTTTTTTGTACGTGCTAAACAAGACCGCCATGCGAGTAGACTGGTTCCTGGTCCGTATATTGTCGATGCTGATTGGGGCGACAGCCAGTTTACCGAGCGAGAACTGAATTATAATCGAGTTTTGACTTGCGCTCATGCGCTGTTCATCATTTTGACACATGTTTGAACTGACAATGTGATATCTCATAGACGCAGTAATGAAACCAAAGTGCATGTACAGGGTTCCTCATGGGGTAGAAAACACAATAGAACAATAGATCCCATAATAAGGACGTCTTTAGAAATCAACCTACTCATACCCGAAACGCTCTGGAGTTTGATATTTCAATAGGAACAAAGGAAAACAAAAAAAAAGGAAACAAAGGTCTTCCCCATAAGTATAATGTGTAAGCGGGTTTGCTTATGCATTCAATAGGGGACGTTGAACAGAAGAGGACAATAGTTTCCACAATTCCTGGAAGTCCACAATTGACGATCGTGTTCAAGACATTATGGGAGGTTTTATCATGAGACGCAGTAAAATGAAACCGATGAGTTTGTTTATTGTGTAAATCGAGGACACACACGTGCAACATCATCGGTGAATCGAGGACATGGACCAAATCGAGGACGACCTCGATTAGAAAACGTGTACAAAACCAAATAGAGCTGTTGCGAAAAAGTTAGTACAAACAAAGGAAAATGGAAGAGGAACAAAAGAAAATCCTCCATTTACACCACGAACAACCGTGGGTGTCTATGTGTGTGTTTTTAATCTTTTACTAAATTGAAGTATTTTACAGTGAGTAACCTAACCCACGAAGCATTTCATGTTCTCTTACTTTAGCTCCAGTTCGTTTCGTGAATGGAAGCTCTTCTTACGAGGGTCAAGTTGAGGTCTTCTACCAAGGCGAGTGGGGTACAGTCTGCGATGATGGATGGGACCTTAATAATGCTGATGTCGTCTGTCGCATGCTTGGTTACCCTTCTGCATCCAACGCTTGGAGCGGCGCTCACTTCGGTCAAGGATCAGGTCCGATCATGCTAGACAATGTTAACTGCCAAGGATATGAATCTAGCATAGCTGAATGCAATCATGCTGGCTGGTTTAGCCATAACTGTGGGCATAATGAGGACGCAGGAGTTACTTGTAACAGTGGTAAGTTTATATCCGGAAAATATTAAATGAAGTTAAAAATCTGAACAATCAGTTGGCTATTTTCAGGGCGCCCTGTAACGGTGAGGCAGGAAAGTAAAATGACCATGTAAAAATCAAGGTTCTTGACTTTCCAACTAGCCTCTAGCGTGCCGCCGCTATGTTGCCAGATCATGTCTGATTATAGGTTTAATATGGATTTGCAAAGACAAATTATGACAAGTTTGAAGATGAGGTGTCGCTGCTATTTTCCGACTACTTTTTCAGCGAAAGTTTAAGAAGTTGGCTGCAATATAAAGCTTAATTATTGATAACTTCACTTCCAAAACCTCTCTACTACGGCGGCAGATGATGTAAGTGGCGATACTACAAAATAAATTACGAAGGTCAATGTGTTTTTGGACCTACTGAGTATTACTTTAGCGAAGATGAGCACAGGAGATTATTTTCTAAATGAATATTCAAAACAAAAAGAGTTTGTTAAAGATGGCATATGTCACATCTTTGCTTATGAAACATATATCGTACTGTCTTTTTAAACCACATTTTTAAATTCCAGACTCTACCACTGAACCACCCTACTCCGGCTGCAGTTCATATGAGTGGCAATGCTACTACAACGGTCAATGTATTCAAGACTACCAAAGATGCAACGGTTACACTGACTGCTACTATGGCGAAGATGAATCCAACTGTTACGGTAAATATCTACAACAAAACAGTTTTCTAAAGTTGAAACATTCTCCAAGTTTTTTAAATAATTCATCTCGCTGTCTTTTCGTTTTCAGACTATACCACTGAGCCATCCAACTCCGGCTGCAGTTCAAATGAGTGGGCATGCTACTACTACGGTCAATGTATTCAAGACTACCAAAGATGCAACGGATACTCGGACTGCTACTATGGCGAAGATGAATACAACTGCACCGGTAAATGTGTACAACAAATCAGTTTCTGTGAAATTTCTTACTCAATATGTACAGATACCTTTGTTTTATACTACACTTTAATCCCAGACTACACTACCGAACCGTTCTGCTACGGCTGCAGTTCATACGAGTTGCTATGCTACTACAACGGCCAATGCATTCGAGGCTACCAAAGATGCAACGGATACTCAGACTGTTACCATGGGGAAGATGAATTAACTGTTGTGTTAACTACACATATCTGCAGATATTTTATTGTCATACAAAATAGACTTTACTTAAACAGTTACAATAACTAGACTGGATGTGTATTTCAAACCATTTTTCCATTCATCATGTTTTATAGGAAACACCGTTGCTCCCACTGTAGACGTCAATCCACCCTCCTCCGTGTTACGATTAGTGAATGGCAGCACCATCTATGAAGGCAGAGTAGAGGTGTTTGTCAACGGTTCCTGGGGAACGGCTTGCAGCCATTCCTGGGACATGAACGAGGCCCAAGTCATCTGCAGACAGCTTGGATATGGACCAGCCATTAATGCCCCGGGTTACGCTACCTATGGCCCTGGTGTTGGTCCTATTCACCTTGTACATGTGCACTGCAACGGTTCGGAAAGCTCAATACTTGACTGCACATCTTATTACTCTGAACACTGCTCTCACAGTGAAGATGCCGGTGTTGAATGCTCAGGTAATTCAAACTTGTTCGTCCAATCACCGCCAAACTTGTCATGAAAAATAGTGGGTTTTTTTCGTACATTTTCCATCCGAAAAGGTGTATGCACGTCTTATTGTCAAGTTGCATTGAAATTTATGACCTCAATATTACCGATCCACATGATTTAATTGGAGATTAGTTTTGTCATGCAAAGCTTTTTTTTGGCTTGTATTTTAACGAAAACCACTTTGGCTAATTGAGGTTTATGCAACCATCTGAAACAAGAAAGGCTTTTGTTTTGGTTTGGGTTTTTTGTGCCTGCTAAACAAGACCGCCATGCGAGTAGACTGGTTCCTGGTCCGTATATTGTCGATACTGATTGGGGCGACAGCCAGTTTACCGAGCGAGAACTGAATTATAATCGAGTTTTGACTTGCGCTCATGCGCTGTTCATCATTTTGACCCATGTTTGAACTGACAATGTGATATCTCATAGACGCAGTAATGAAACCAAAGTGCATGTACAGGGTTCCTTATGGGGTAGAAAACACAATAGAACAATAGATTCCATAATAAGGATGTCTTTAGAAATCAACCTACCCATACCCGAAACGCTCTGGAGTTTGATATTTCAATAGGAACAAAGGAAAACAAAAAAAAAGGAAACAAAGGTCTTCCCCATAAGTATAATGTGTAAGCGGGTTTGCTTATGCATTCAGTAGGGGACGTTGAACAGAAGAGGACAATAGTTTCCACAATTCCTGGAAGTCCACAATTGACGATCGTGTTCAAGACATTATGGGAGGTTTTATCATGAGACGCAGTAAAATGAAACCGATGAGTTTGTTTATTGTGTAAATCGAGGACACACACGTGCAACATCATCGGTGAATCGAGGACAGGGACCAAATCGAGGACGACCGCGATTAGAAAACGTGTACAAAACCAATTAGAGCTGTTGCGAAAAAGTTAGTACAAACAAAGGAAAATGGAAGAGGAACAAAAGAAAATCCTCCATTTACACCACGAACAACCGTGGGTGTCTATGTGTGTGTTTTTAATCTTTTACTAAATTGAAGTATTTTACAGTGAGTAACCTAACCCACGAAGCATTTCATGTTCTCTTACTTTAGCTCCAGTTCGTCTCGTGAATGGAAGCTCTTCTAACGAGGGTCAAGTTGAGGTCTTCTACCAAGGCGAGTGGGGTACAGTCTGCGATGATGGATGGGACCTTAATAATGCTGATGTCGTCTGTCGCATGCTTGGTTACCCTTCTGCATCCAACGCTTGGAGCGGCGCTCACTTCGGTCAAGGATCAGGTCCGATCATGCTAGACAATGTTAACTGCCAAGGATATGAATCTAGCATAGCTGAATGCAATCATGCTGGCTGGTTTAGCCATAACTGTGGGCATAATGAGGACGCAGGAGTTACTTGTAACAGTGGTAAGTTTATATCCGGAAAATATTAAATGAAGTTAAAAATCTGAACAATCAGTTGGCTTTTTTCAGGGCGCCCTGTAACGGTGAGGCAGGAAAGTAAAATGACCATGTAAAAATCAAGGTTCTTGACTTTCCAACTAGCTTCTAGCGTGCCGCCGCTATGTTGCCAGATCATGTCTGATTATAGGTTTAATATGGATTTGCAAAGACAAATTATGACAAGTTTGAAGATGAGGTGTCGCTGCTATTTTCCGACTACTTTTTCAGCGAAAGTTTAAGAAGTTGGCTGCAATATAAAGCTTAATTATTGATAACTTCACTTCCCATTCATAACCACGCTCCAAAACCTCTCTACTACGGCCGCAGATGATGTAAGTGGCGATACTACAAAATAAATTACGAAGGTCAATGTGTTTTTGGACCTACTGAGTATTACTTTAGCGAAGATGAGCACAGGAGATTATTTTCTAAATGAATATTCAAAACAAAAAGAGTTTGTTAAAGATGGCATATGTCACATCTTTGCTTATGAAACATATATCGTACTGTCTTTTTAAACCACATTTTTAAATTCCAGACTCTACCACTGAACCACCCTACTCCGGCTGCAGTTCATATGAGTGGCAATGCTACTACAACGGTCAATGTATTCAAGACTACCAAAGATGCAACGGTTACACTGACTGCTACTATGGCGAAGATGAATCCAACTGTTACGGTAAATATCTACAACAAAACAGTTTTCTAAAGTTGAAACATTCTCCAAGTTTTTTAAATAATTCATCTCGCTGTCTTTTCGTTTTCAGACTATACCACTGAGCCATCCAACTCCGGCTGCAGTTCAAATGAGTGGGCATGCTACTACTACGGTCAATGTATTCAAGACTACCAAAGATGCAACGGATACTCGGACTGCTACTTTGGCGAAGATGAATACAACTGCACCGGTAAAAGTGTACAACAAATCAGTTTCTGTGAAATTTCTTACTCAATATGTACAGATACCTTTGTTTTATACTACACTTTAATCCCAGACTACACTACCGAACCGTTCTGCTACGGCTGCAGTTCATACGAGTTGCTATGCTACTACAACGGCCAATGCATTCGAGGCTACCAAAGATGCAACGGATACTCAGACTGTTACCATGGGGAAGATGAATTAACTGTTGTGTTAACTACACATATCTGCAGATATTTTATTGTCATACAAAATAGACTTTACTTAAACAGTTACAATAACTAGACTGGATGTGTATTTCAAACCATTTTTCCATTCATCATGTTTGATAGGAAACACCGTTGCTCCCACTGTAGACGTCAATCCACCCTCCTCCGTGTTAAGATTAGTGAATGGCAGCACCATCTATGAAGGCAGAGTAGAGGTGTTTGTCAACGGTTCCTGGGGAACGGCTTGCAGCCATTCCTGGGACATGAACGAGGCCCAAGTCATCTGCAGACAGCTTGGATATGGACCAGCCATTAATGCCCCGGGTTACGCTACCTATGGCCCTGGTGTTGGTCCTATTCACCTTGTACATGTGCACTGCAACGGTTCGGAAAGCTCAATACTTGACTGCACATCTTATTACTCTGAACACTGCTCTCACAGTGAAGATGCCGGTGTTGAATGCTCAGGTAATTCAAACTTGTTCGTCCAATCACCGCCAAACTTGTCATGAAAAATAGTGGGTTTTTTTTGTACATTTTCCATCCGAAAAGGTGTATGCACGTCTTATTGTCAAGTTGCATTGAAATTTATGACCTCAATATTACCGATCCACATGATTTAATTGGAGATTAGTTTTGTCATGCAAAGCTTTTTTTTTTGCTTGTATTTTAACGAAAACCACTTTGGCTAATTGAGGTTTATGCAACCATCTGAAACAAGAAAGGCTTTTGTTTTGGTTTGGTTTTTTTGTGCCTGCTAAACAAGACCGCCATGCGAGTAGACTGGTTCCTGGTCCGTATATTGTCGATACTGATTGGGGCGACAGCCAGTTTACCGAGCGAGAACTGAATTATAATCGAGTTTTGACTTGCGCTCATGCGCTGTTCATCATTTTGACCCATGTTTGAACTGACAATGTGATATCTCATAGACGCAGTAATGAAACCAAAGTGCATGTACAGGGTTCCTTATGGGGTAGAAAACACAATAGAACAATAGATCCCATAATAAGGACGTCTTTAGAAATCAACCTACCCATACCCGAAACGCTCTGGAGTTTGATATTTCAATAGGAACAAAGGAAAACAAAAAAAAAGGAAACAAAGGTCTTCCCCATAAGTATAATGTGTAAGCGGGTTTGCTTATGCATTCAATAGGGGACGTTGAACAGAAGAGGACAATAGTTTCCACAATTCCTGGAAGTCCACAATTGACGATCGTGTTCAAGACATTATGGGAGGTTTTATCATGAGACGCAGTAAAATGAAACCGATGAGTTTGTTTATTGTGTAAATCGAGGACACACACGTGCAACATCATCGGTGAATCGAGGACAGGGACCAAATCGAGGACGACCGCGATTAGAAAACGTGTACAAAACCAAATAGAGCTGTTGCGAAAAAGTTAGTACAAACAAAGGAAAATGGAAGAGGAACAAAAGAAAATCCTCCATTTACACCACGAACAACCGTGGGTGTCTATGTGTGTGTTTTTAATCTTTTACTAAATTGAAGTATTTTACAGTGAGTAACCTAACCCACGAAGCATTTCATGTTCTCTTACTTTAGCTCCAGTTCGTCTCGTGAATGGAAGCTCTTCTAACGAGGGTCAAGTTGAGGTCTTCTACCAAGGCGAGTGGGGTACAGTCTGCGATGATGGATGGGACCTTAATAATGCTGATGTCGTCTGTCGCATGCTTGGTTACCCTTCTGCATCCAACGCTTGGAGCGGCGCTCACTTCGGTCAAGGATCAGGTCCGATCATGCTAGACAATGTTAACTGCCAAGGATATGAATCTAGCATAGCTGAATGCAATCATGCTGGCTGGTTTAGCCATAACTGTGGGCATAATGAGGACGCAGGAGTTACTTGTAACAGTGGTAAGTTTATATCCGGAAAATATTAAATGAAGTTAAAAATCTGAACAATCAGTTGGCTATTTTCAGGGCGCCCTGTAACGGTGAGGCAGGAAAGTAAAATGACCATGTAAAAATCAAGGTTCTTGACTTTCCAACTAGCCTCTAGCGTGCCGCCGCTATGTTGCCAGATCATGTCTGATTATAGGTTTAATATGGATTTGCAAAGACAAATTATGACAAGTTTGAAGATGAGGTGTCGCTGCTATTTTCCGACTACTTTTTCAGCGAAAGTTTAAGAAGTTGGCTGCAATATAAAGCTTAATTATTGATAACTTCACTTCCCATTCATAACCACGCTCCAAAACCTCTCTACTACGGCTGCAGATGATGTAAGTGGCGATACTACAAAAAAAATTACGAAGGTCAATGTGTTTTTGGACCTACTGAGTGTTACTTTAGACAAGATGAGCACAGGAGATTATTTTCTAAATGAATATTCAAAACAAAAAGAGTTTGTTAAAGATGGCATATGTCACATTTTTGCTTATGAAACATATATCGTACTGTCTTTTTAAACCACACTTTTAAATTCCAGACTCTACCACTGAACCACCCTACTCCGGCTGCAGTTCATATGAGTGGCAATGCTACTACAACGGTCAATGTATTCAAGACTACCAAAGATGCAACGGTTACACTGACTGCTACTATGGCGAAGATGAATCCAACTGTTACGGTAAATATCTACAACAAAACAGTTTTCTAAAGTTGAAACATTCTCCAAGTTTTTTAAATAATTCATCTCGCTGTCTTTTCGTTTTCAGACTATACCACTGAGCCATCCAACTCCGGCTGCAGTTCAAATGAGTGGGCATGCTACTACTACGGTCAATGTATTCAAGACTACCAAAGATGCAACGGATACTCGGACTGCTACTTTGGCGAAGATGAATACAACTGCACCGGTAAATGTGTACAACAAATCAGTTTCTGTGAAATTTCTTACTCAATATGTACAGATACCTTTGTTTTATACTACACTTTAATCCCAGACTACACTACCGAACCGTTCTGCTACGGCTGCAGTTCATACGAGTTGCGATGCTACTACAACGGCCAATGCATTCGAGGCTACCAAAGATGCAACGGATACTCAGACTGTTACCATGGGGAAGATGAATTAACTGTTGTGTTAACTACACATATCTGCAGATATTTTATTGTCATACAAAATAGACTTTACTTAAACAGTTACAATAACTAGACTGGATGTGTATTTCAAACCATTTTTCCATTCATCATGTTTTATAGGAAACACCGTTGCTCCCACTGTAGACGTCAATCCACCCTCCTCCGTGTTACGATTAGTGAATGGCAGCACCATCTATGAAGGCAGAGTAGAGGTGTTTGTCAACGGTTCCTGGGGAACGGCTTGCAGCCATTCCTGGGACATGAACGAGGCCCAAGTCATCTGCAGACAGCTTGGATATGGACCAGCCATTAATGCCCCGGGTTACGCTACCTATGGCCCTGGTGTTGGTCCTATTCACCTTGTACATGTGCACTGCAACGGTTCGGAAAGCTCAATACTTGACTGCACATCTTATTACTCTGAACACTGCTCTCACAGTGAAGATGCCGGTGTTGAATGCTCAGGTAATTCAAACTTGTTCGTCCAATCACCGCCAAACTTGTCATGAAAAATAGTGGGTTTTTTTTGTACATTTTCCATCCGAAAAGGTGTATGCACGTCTTATTGTCAAGTTGCATTGAAATTTATGACCTCAATATTACCGATCCACATGATTTAATTGGAGATTAGTTTTGTCATGCAAAGCTTTTTTTTTTGCTTGTATTTTAACGAAAACCACTTTGGCTAATTGAGGTTTATGCAACCATCTGAAACAAGAAAGGCTTTTGTTTTGGTTTGGTTTTTTTGTGCCTGCTAAACAAGACCGCCATGCGAGTAGACTGGTTCCTGGTCCGTATATTGTCGATACTGATTGGGGCGACAGCCAGTTTACCGAGCGAGAACTGAATTATAATCGAGTTTTGACTTGCGCTCATGCGCTGTTCATCATTTTGACCCATGTTTGAACTGACAATGTGATATCTCATAGACGCAGTAATGAAACCAAAGTGCATGTACAGGGTTCCTTATGGGGTAGAAAACACAATAGAACAATAGATCCCATAATAAGGACGTCTTTAGAAATCAACCTACCATACCCGAAACGCTCTGGAGTTTGATATTTCAATAGGAACAAAGGAAAACAAAAAAAAGGAAACAAAGGTCTTCCCCATAAGTATAATGTGTAAGCGGGTTTGCTTATGCATTCAATAGGGGACGTTGAACAGAAGAGGACAATAGTTTCCACAATTCCTGGAAGTCCACAATTGACGATCGTGTTCAAGACATTATGGGAGGTTTTATCATGAGACGCAGTAAAATGAAACCGATGAGTTTGTTTATTGTGTAAATCGAGGACACACACGTGCAACATCATCGGTGAATCGAGGACAGGGACCAAATCGAGGACGACCGCGATTAGAAAACGTGTACAAAACCAAATAGAGCTGTTGCGAAAAAGTTAGTACAAACAAAGGAAAATGGAAGAGGAACAAAAGAAAATCCTCCATTTACACCACGAACAACCGTGGGTGTCTATGTGTGTGTTTTTAATCTTTTACTAAATTGAAGTATTTTACAGTGAGTAACCTAACCCACGAAGCATTTCATGTTCTCTTACTTTAGCTCCAGTTCGTCTCGTGAATGGAAGCTCTTCTAACGAGGGTCAAGTTGAGGTCTTCTACCAAGGCGAGTGGGGTACAGTCTGCGATGATGGATGGGACCTTAATAATGCTGATGTCGTCTGTCGCATGCTTGGTTACCCTTCTGCATCCAACGCTTGGAGCGGCGCTCACTTCGGTCAAGGATCAGGTCCGATCATGCTAGACAATGTTAACTGCCAAGGATATGAATCTAGCATAGCTGAATGCAATCATGCTGGCTGGTTTAGCCATAACTGTGGGCATAATGAGGACGCAGGAGTTACTTGTAACAGTGGTAAGTTTATTTCCGGAAAATATTAAATGAAGTTAAAAATCTGAACAATCAGTTGGCTATTTTCAGGGCGCCCTGTAACGGTGAGGCAGGAAAGTAAAATGACCATGTAAAAATCAAGGTTCTTGACTTTCCAACTAGCTTCTAGCGTGCCGCCGCTATGTTGCCAGATCATGTCTGATTATAGGTTTAATATGGATTTGCAAAGACAAATTATGACAAGTTTGAAGATGAGGTGTCGCTGCTATTTTCCGACTACTTTTTCAGCGAAAGTTTAAGAAGTTGGCTGCAATATAAAGCTTAATTATTGATAACTTCACTTCCCATCCACGCTCCAAAACCTCTCTACTACGGCTGCAGATGATGTAAGTGGCGATACTACAAAATAAATTACGAAGGTCAATGTGTTTTTGGACCTACTGAGTGTTACTTTAGACAAGATGAGCACAGGAGATTATTTTCTAAATGAATATTCAAAACAAAAAGAGTTTGTTAAAGATGGCATATGTCACATTTTTGCTTATGAAACATATATCGTACTGTCTTTTTAAACCACACTTTTAAATTCCAGACTCTACCACTGAACCACCCTACTCCGGCTGCAGTTCATATGAGTGGCAATGCTACTACAACGGTCAATGTATTCAAGACTACCAAAGATGCAACGGTTACACTGACTGCTACTATGGCGAAGATGAATCCAACTGTTACGGTAAATATCTACAACAAAACAGTTTTCTAAAGTTGAAACATTCTCCAAGTTTTTTAAATAATTCATCTCGCTGTCTTTTCGTTTTCAGACTATACCACTGAGCCATCCAACTCCGGCTGCAGTTCAAATGAGTGGGCATGCTACTACTACGGTCAATGTATTCAAGACTACCAAAGATGCAACGGATACTCGGACTGCTACTTTGGCGAAGATGAATACAACTGCACCGGTAAATGTGTACAACAAATCAGTTTCTGTGAAATTTCTTACTCAATATGTACAGATACCTTTGTTTTATACTACACTTTAATCCCAGACTACACTACCGAACCGTTCTGCTACGGCTGCAGTTCATACGAGTTGCGATGCTACTACAACGGCCAATGCATTCGAGGCTACCAAAGATGCAACGGATACTCAGACTGTTACCATGGGGAAGATGAATTAACTGTTGTGTTAACTACACATATCTGCAGATATTTTATTGTAATACAAAATAGACTTTACTTAAACAGTTACAATAACTAGACTCGATGTGTATTTCAAACCATTTTTCCATTCATCATGTTTTATAGGAAACACCGTTGCTCCCACTGTAGACGTCAATCCACCCTCCTCCGTGTTACGATTAGTGAATGGCAGCACCATCTATGAAGGCAGAGTAGAGGTGTTTGTCAACGGTTCCTGGGGAACGGCTTGCAGCCATTCCTGGGACATGAACGAGGCCCAAGTCATCTGCAGACAGCTTGGATATGGACCAGCCATTAATGCCCCGGGTTACGCTACCTATGGCCCTGGTGTTGGTCCTATTCACCTTGTACATGTGCACTGCAACGGTTCGGAAAGCTCAATACTTGACTGCACATCTTATTACTCTGAACACTGCTCTCACAGTGAAGATGCCGGTGTTGAATGCTCAGGTAATTCAAACTTGTTCGTCCAATCACCGCCAAACTTGTCATGAAAAATAGTATTTTTTTTCTACATTTTCCATCCGAAAAGGTGTATGCACGTCTTATTGTCAAGTTGCATTGAAATTTATGACCTCAATATTACCGATCCACATGATTTAATTGGAGATTAGTTTTGTCATGCAAAGCTTTTTTTTGGCTTGTATTTTAACGAAAACCACTTTGGCTATTTGAGGTTTATGCAACCATCTGAAACAAGAAAGGCTTTTGTTTTGGTTTGGTTTTTTTGTGCCTGCTAAACAAGACCGCCATGCGAGTAGACTGGTTCCTGGTCCGTATATTGTCGATACTGATTGGGGCGACAGCCAGTTTACCGAGCGAGAACTGAATTATAATCGAGTTTTGACTTGCGCTCATGCGCTGTTCATCATTTTGACCCATGTTTGAACTGACAATGTGATATCTCATAGACGCAGTAATGAAACCAAAGTGCATGTACAGGGTTCCTTATGGGGTAGAAAACACAATAGAACAATAGATCCCATAATAAGGACGTCTTTAGAAATCAACCTACTCATACCCGAAACGCTCTGGAGTTTGATATTTCAATAGGAACAAAGGAAAACAAAAAAAGGAAACAAAGGTCTTCCCCATAAGTATAATGTGTAAGCGGGTTTGCTTATGCATTCAATAGGGGACGTTGAACAGAAGAGGACAATAGTTTCCACAATTCCTGGAAGTCCACAATTGACGATCGTGTTCAAGACATTATGGGAGGTTTTATCATGAGACGCAGTAAAATGAAACCGATGAGTTTGTTTATTGTGTAAATCGAGGACACACACGTGCAACATCATCGGTGAATCGAGGACAGGGACCAAATCGAGGACGACCTCGATTAGAAAACGTGTACAAAACCAAATAGAGCTGTTGCGAAAAAGTTAGTACAAACAAAGGAAAATGGAAGAGGAACAAAAGAAAATCCTCCATTTACACCACGAACAAC